GTACAGAGGGATGGAAATCGAATTAGAATATGAGCTATAGTACATGTATAATGAATAAATTAATTGAAATGAAACAGTGTGTGAAATGAATATCATTAAACAGTGTCGAAAATCGATTGGTTTATGCATGACTAGTAAAATTTTCTTCGGGCTAGTAAAATTCTTGGCTTTAGTGACCTCAAAAGTTTTCGTTAAGACTGTGGGCCCCCATCTTTGTATAGCAGAAGTATAGATTTCTGGTCTTGCTCAAGTTCCAAGATTGCTCCAGTTATGTGTCGAACTGGTGATAATGGTTCCAATACCAAGCCTTTCACTCCTACATGAACTTGGCCACTGCAGAAATCTCCTCCTGGCCTACTATCTATGACTTTTACCGGGGTCTACTGTTGCTACTTGATGGTTTGGTCCCCTAATTTTACAATGCTGTTTCTCATCCATTCACACAAGTGTAAACTCTAAATTTCACAGTCAATTTTTTTTCAAATACCGAAAAGCAGCTGGTGCATAATGAATGTCCATGTACTCTTTCTACTGACGGCTTTGAACTTGGAATTTCACATTTAGTTTTCCTGTTTACTGTTATGAAATATGTGGAGATAACGAAGTTTTCATGCTCAAAAACCCAATAAACATTACAATATAGGAGCGGAGCAAAATCGCACCTCCAAAACACCAGACGTGGGATCAGGTGTCACGATGGAGTTAGCATCCCTTACCGACCGGTCACAACCGCCGTGTGCCCCTTGTCGTGTTTACGATAATGGGGGAAAAGGTGTGGACAACTCAGTATGTTAATAATGGCCGGACAAGCAGTATTTCAAAAAAAATCAGTGAGCAGTAAACATAATGATAAATTTATTTGCTGACAAGGTCATTGTATCGGCCATAGAACTAACAAAATGGCTTTAAACGAGACTATTGACATTCTTATTTCATCAACTTATTTGCCAGTAATTTATCTCGTTTTAGAAGTTGTTCATACTTAGAGCATGCTCTTCCGTATGGAATCAACAGAGATGTATAAACTCCGCAAGCAGGTGATGAAGGTATATTGTTGCACAATTAAGAAAACTTGAATGTTGGCCAACGGATGAATGTTTGCGTGAAAGCTAGTCCATCAGTGTTTGTTGTGCGATGTTTGGCTGTTGGTCCATTGTAGTATATGTTGGCATGAAACATGACCATATGTTGGAATTTTGATGTTGGCCCAACGTAGGCCCAACCGAGTACATGTTGGCATAAATTAAAGCCACTGTGTGTTGGGATGTTATGTTGGCCAAACATTGGACCTATCGCCATAATGTAACGTTGTCCGAGACATGATACACGGCAAATGTGTGTTAGGCATGCAACTGTTGGTTTAATATTGGCCTTATGTAGTAATTTTTTTTATTATGATGAGGTATTGATTGGGTTTTCAACGTTGACACAGTGTTGGTCCAACAGAGTGAAAATTGGGTAGGGAACAACTATCATTAACAAACATGTACATGAAGGTGATACCTTAATTACGCACATTAAATTTGTATCTGTAGAATCATTTAGTTTAAGCTTCTTTCAATAGAGACAGCACGCCTTGAATTAAAATATTACAGTCCCTAAAACGTTCTACTTTCCTATTTTTCCGTTCGCTCACCGTTCGTTCACCGTTCGTTCAGCGTGCGTTCACCGTGCGCTCGCTCGTGTACATGTACTGTCTCAGCTCGGACCTTCCTTTGTAGTCCTTCATAGCTCATCACAGCTGGCCCTAAACAGTTCCAAACTTCTCAGGCCCATCTGGCATGTATTGCCAGCTCGGAACTTTCTTTATACCCTTTCAATCAAAATTTCTGTTGAGTGTTGGTAGATATTCCCAATGTTCTGATTTGTTACGCTGTACAATGGATTCCCCTTGTTGATTGGATGATACATGTAGTATGCAAATCATGTTATCCCCGTGCCGCCGATTAATTCACGTCCAAATACTGAGTCAATTTATCATACCTGTTGAGTGTCATGGTGTTTTTGAAGATTTTGGAACCGAGTAAGTCGTTGTCCCGCCAGTAATCATCATACTCATGTCGTAGACTCTCACCCATCATTTTACATTTTGTTGTAAAACGTCGTTATACATCCATCCATTGATATTGATTATTCTTTGAGCAGTTGTGCATTGGACATCAGTGGTCATCTTATGTGAAAAGGACTAGCCCATTAAAGAGTTTTATGAAATAAATATGATAACTGATGGGATATCTGCCCATATTGTACGTACATTCATCTTCATATCTTTGTTTGTGTCTAGTAGTATTTGAATACGCAAGTTTCGAGATTATCTCCCATGGTGTGCTCTTTCGTTGAGGAGGGGAGTTTCGTTGCCGCGTAAACAGACAGTGGGACATATTTATATATTGGATAGATTGCATCATCGATATACTGGTTTATCATAACCATGATCACTACATGATTGTACATGTAAGGATGCACTCTACAACTCGAGAACAAGTTAAATTGATGCAAAGCATCAAATTGGCCGCAAACAAAATTAAGCATTTAAAAAAATTCTTTCACAATCAAGGAAAGCATGTCAAGATATTCAAAGGTAAAATAGTTGAATCATTTTTATTTCAGTCATGCAGTCTTCAAAGCACAATAAATACATGTATTTTTAAAGAATTAAATAAATACACTTTACCACATTAGCTAATAAATAGATTTATCGATGTAAAAAAAATTATGTTCATTGATGAATTATAAGAATTTCTTGTCATCAAAACAAAGATGTAGGCTTGTCAAGATGAACCACGTGCTGATACCCTGGATATTGGTCACGTGATAATGCCCATGGTTTCTGCAGGCCGCGGTGCAAAATGTAAAAAAAAAAATGTGTCCTTTGTAGATGTAGACCAAATGCATTCAAAACAATTTTATTTAGTAGTTGAAAAACTCCTCAATTTTTCATTCACTATGCACTTGAACCACATCATTTTTATCCGGAAAATCTTGACGATTTCTTTTCATATCTTACACACTCCCAGGCTGGGGAGTAGCTAATGTAAACTCTTTTTATATTAACCATAAATTATCGATGATCTGATAAGAAATGATAATGAAACTGAAATATATTATAATAACAACATTTAATACTAAGTTTAAGCAATTTTTTAAAATATTTTACTCGTGATTTTTACTTGTTATCATTTACGAATTATTTTATTGAAGTAATATAAAAATAACGTCTCATTTCCCATGTGCACTTTCTAACACAATCACAAATAGATCGGCCGCTGCTGCGGCCGATAATAACCGAATGTGAAGGGTCATTTTTAAATCGTAAAAAAAAAAAGAAAATATAAGTGGATATGACTTTTCAGACGAGGGAAGAGATATACGGACCTCTAATAAATACGGTACACATGCATCAGATCATTGCACGTCGGCAATCTACATGACACATTGATTCTTTTCCTCATACATAACTTCAAAAAACCCACTAACGTTTTAGATAATGTTTGTACAATCATGAAAATCGGTTATTTTTTATAAAGACTACGACGTTTCGTTCGTTTTCAAGTACCCTATAATTGAAAGTAGATTTGTAAATATGCATATTTGAGCTTGATAAAATAATCAAATGCATCACTGCTTAACATAATTATCTTTCTTTAAAATTTATTAAATTTTAAAAGCCATAGATATCGTTCATTTATTTATGCACGTTTGTTAACAGTAACAACCTGTCCCACCTCCATCCTGAAATGGATACTTTTTGCGCCTCTGTCGTAGGAGAGTTACAATCTCGAAACTCGCGTATTGCATTGTATTTTCCGTGCCGTTGTGAATTTGGGAACTTGCTCTCCAGTTTTCCGGAGCACAATTTAGTCCACCTGGGTTCGCTACTTTCCTTTTCATTGCTTGGGGGCGACACAGCTGCCATATAAAAAATTTACCGCCACCAGCTACAAGTATCTTTGAAAGATATATCCTTTATAAGGGTTGTTAAGATAATGATTCCAATCTATAAAAACCCTCTCCTAAATTCCTCAATTGCTGTACGTTACAGTTTTGGTTGACATACGATTTTTTTTATTATTTTCAAAACTGATCGAAATTCTGAAAAAATCTAGGAGAAATTGGCAAATTGCAATACGTAACAATCGAATGCATCAAAATCTTTACTGTGTAAATAATATATCGGAGTGCAGAAATTTATCGTTGTATTCATGAGATTGATCACAGTTCTAAACTTTAACATTTAGCATAAAATTAAATTGATTTTCTGTGACAAGATGTGTTGGACAACTTACAGTAAGACGCATGCGTGACTTCGACGGAAAAGTACGCAGAGGAGAGATAACTGGATCTTAAATAACAATGAAAAATCAAATAGAATCAAAATCTTTAATGTACAATATATAGCAATGCCATTTCAACAGAAAACAACTTTATTAACAAATACTTGTAACAAACACTGCAATAAATGATCATATCAACAACTTTGGTATTGAAACTAAAAGACATGATATAAAATGTCAGCCATTTTTCATAAAACATAATTATGCTTAAAGTTATGTATTCTTATTTTAAGCAGAACTCAGAACTGTACATGTACAGTACAACCCTTAAAATTGAATATTGCATTTATTTGACTTATACATGTAATATAATTAATGAAAATCCTGTTAAATTGTAAAAGAACAATACACAGTCCAATTTAGCAAATATGCAATGATATGCAAAATTGACAGGAGCAGAAATATTACACTTTTAGAAAAATTAACTGCCCAGATGTTTCTATGAAGTGTAAGATTTCTGAAAAAAAAAAATTAAGATAAGTCAAAAATAAAATGAAGATTGATTTAGATACAATACAACAACGCAGAAATAAAAAAAAATCAAACTATAAACATATACGGTAAAATTGGACAGATGTTACAGTAATGATAAACGATCAGCTTTAAACCCTTCCTTTCAAATGCTGATTTTACTTGTAGTCTAGTATGAAGTTAAGAAGGTGATGATTCTGATGACGTCAACATTGCTCACACTCAGCTTCACTGAATATAAAACGGCCATATTTGTCTTGAAAGTATTGTAAAAAGCACCTAGAGATGATATGGAAGATCACATGCACATGCGTAGTAAAAATTCCTTATAGCCTGTTTTTCTCAAACTTGATTTTTGGGGGGCTAAGAAATCCATTTCAAAGACCAATTATCTACTCTTTTCTTGAACATACGAACGATTAATCGCGTAAATTAATCCGGAAGTGTGTTCAATCCTGTGTGGGCAAGGGAGGCGGAAGAATTCACAAACACAGTGACTAGGTTTATCGCAATGAACGGTCGATCCGATTTTTCTTGGCGATGCGAGAAATTCTGATTTCATTTTCTTGGTGAAAAATCCCGCGCTTTCTAGCTGGAAAGCTACAAGATCAAGGTCACAGTCTTTTGGAAAGCACGCCAGTTCATCCAACCGTGGCAGGTTCCGACAGAAGTCGTTACACTGATGATTAGCAAAGAAGTTGTCAATGCCCATTTGTCCCATATCTGTTCGACCGTATTTTTGGTCTCGAGAATGAACGACTGGTACGGTCAAGTAATAGTTTTCAAACTGTTTCACACCTTTCATTCCAGTAACAACACATTCCCCCTGCGTGCAGCACCAAGTATAATGAGAATAAGCATTCATGACCATGGAGTCAAACATTTTCGTCTTAGAACTGTTAAAGTTTTGGAACTTGCCAGAAAGATACGGCTCCACAGAAACATATTCAAGCTCTCTCATTTTCTTTCTTGGCTTGCCAAGAAACATAGCAATACACATATATGAAGAAACTTCGTCGATTTCAACAAGCATTGGGGTATGGAAGACAAGATTCACACGCTCACCAATTTCGGACATTTCCCTATTGAATTCTAAAGCTAAAGATTTCGCCATCATTGCTCGTTCCTTTTCATGGTTCCAATCTGCCCTAGTGGCACAACCTTGTCGGAACGCCTTCACGAGACATCGCTTTCCTCTTCGAGGTCCTTCACCATTTAGTATCCCCATGTAGGACAGCTTTCGAGCACCCACTCTATATGGATACGGCTCAAAACTACACCAGTATCGCCCTTCCCCGTCCTCATCTTGTCCACATAACGTTTCCACACTGATTTGTTGACCCATTTTTCTGTTTCAAATAAAAACAAAATAATTATAATACGCTTTTAAATCAATGGGTAACATCTTGCATGAGTAACATATTTCTCTCTTCATGGTGTAATGTTATTTACGATCATCAATAGAGAGTCGTTGAACTGACTAACGACGCTTTAATTGAAAGTTTATTTCCAAATGAACTTGTTTAAAAATTAAAAAGCACATGAAATCATGAAAAAAAAAACGAGTTAATTTCAGAATTGATGTATAAGATTTGCTGTCAATTGAGAATACAAGTATATATTTTTTCAATAGGACTGCTTGATCGTGCCTTAATTAAAAGAAAATGGTTTTTTTTTCAAAATGAAAATGCAACGTGTACTGATTAAATAAGTCATCAAAAGTATACATGTTGTAGTATGCATAAATATTTATTAATCAATATCAATCGCAATTATTATTCTTTTAATAAAAATATTTACTCTGATTGTAACATGCACTCCGTATCATTATAAATATTTTTTAGGTTCTCCCCCTACTGGAGAAAAGAATGTGTTAGCACTTTGTTTTCAATTTTAGCATCCTTTGCAAAATAACAAAAAGTGAAAGACATCTTTAATTGTATGCGCTTTTTCTAGTAAGATCTTACATTAGTCTTTAGTGACTGCATTAGGCGATTCAGATGAACCCCTCGTCCCCCCTAAAACATCGAATACATTTTTAACTGTCTTACTTAGATAAAAAGAGTAAAACTTCCAGAAATTATGTTGTAAAATAATTTAAAGTTTGCTTTGGACCTCGACGATAACCAGATCCCTCGCCATCTAGTAGGAACATTCTAATTCAAAATCCTGGATCCACGCGCAAGAGCATTACATTGTCACGATCTAGTCTGTTTTATATTTACTGCTGCTACAATAGGTTTCATATTTAATTATCACAAAAGATGTGTCGCAAGAATGCAAGATTATTTTGGATAAACCAAGAACACTGTGAATGAACCCCCTACTTTCATGATACACAGTAATCGTCAAAAGTTTTTTTAATGTAGATATCATATGTACTTTAAGTTAATATCAATTCCATGTGCTTTGTCTCCCGAGTCTCATATTCTTATGTCATCTCAGTTGAAGAGGACATTGCGCAATGAAGGTATTGAGAAAGAATAACTTTTCCTTTAAAACTTATAAAGTCTTTTCTAGTCCTTTTTACATACCCTGAAATACTAATATTTTGCAACGTGTACTGATTAAATAAGTCATCAAAAGTATACATGTTGTAGTATGCATAAATATTTATTAATCAATATCAATCGCAATTATTATTCTTTTAATAAAAATATTTACTCTGACTGTAACATGCACTCCCTATCATTATAAATATTTTTTTAGGTTCTCCCCCTACTGGAGAAAAAATGTGTTAGAAATTTTTTTTCAATTTTAGCATCCTTTGCAAAATAACAAAAAGTGAAAGACATCTTTAATTGTATGCGCTTTTTCTAGTAAGATCTTACATTAGTCTTTAGTGACTGCATTAGGCGATTCAGATGAACCCCTCGTCCCCCCTAAAACATCGAATACATTTTTAACTGTCTTACTTAGATAAAAAGAGTAAAACTTCCAGAAATTATGTTGTAAAATAATTTAAAGTTTGCTTTGGACCTCGACGATAACCAGATCCCTCGCCATCTAGTAGGAACATTCTAATTCAAAATCCTGGATCCACGCGCAAGAGCATTACATTGTCACGATCTAGTCTGTTTTATATTTACTGCTGCTACAATAGATTTCATATTTAATTATCACAAAAGATGTGTCGCAAGAATGCAAGATTATTTTGGATAAACCAAGAACACTGTGAATGAACCCCCTACTTTCATGATACACAGTAATCGTCAAAAGTTTTTTTTAATGTAGATATCATATGTACTTTAAGTTAATATCAATTCCATGTGCTTTGTCTCCCGAGTCTCATATTCTTATGTCATCTCAGTTGAAGAGGACATTGCGCAATGAAGGTATTGAGAAAGAATAACTTTTCCTTTAAAACTTATAAAGTCTTTTCTAGTCCTTTTTAAATACCCTGAAATACTAATATTTTTTTCAGCGTATTAAACCGTAGATTCTTTTATAAAACAAAATTAAAATTTAGCCTTATATTCCCTTGCAAAAGAATAAAATAAAAAAGGTCTACGTTGATAAAGTATTTTATTTTACTTGTATCTAAAATTGATAATGATTTTTCAACTAACCAGCAACTATCTATGGACATATTTGTTAGAAATGTTATGCGGATGAATATGCATTTTTGTGCATATAAAAAATAAGCGTTTTTAAAATATATATCATTTTCAAGATTATTATGATCATATAAAATAAACATAGCAAATTGATGTTAACTTAGAGAAAATATATAGTAAGCATACTTACCGAACGTGCGTGTTCTCTCAAACGCCCTTTTTACATAACTCTGGCGTGTCTTGCTGATGAATCTAAGGATGAGAAAATTAAGACATTACTTAGTTGATGGAACTTGAATTGTGTTTCCATTTATCCAATCATCGCTTGACGCGCTCTAATGCTACATGTTGTGATGTATTGCGAAGTCGCACAAGTGTGACTAATGGCATTAATAAATCAGACTCTCAAATGATTGGCCAGTTTTTCGTATCTGCCAGTTTTCGGCGACTACTAATTGCAGGGGACCGTCAACTGAAAATAGAATTCGGCTTTTTTTCGAAAGTTAATAAATTGAGAAATCTCGGGGGCAATTTTTCATCAGAATAGCTTCTTTGCAAGTAAAGGCGACTGACAGAACGGAATTAACTATTGGAATGGACCGCAACTCACGCGCGAGAGTTGCAGAGATTGGTCAATTATCCTATCATTTCCGGTTTCATCCCTTCATTTGAAATTCAGATTGAAAGGAAATTGTTCCGTTACATGATACTGAAGGTAAAGACTGTAAAGGTTTTGAAGAAATGTTGGTTGTGACTAATGGACAAACAGACAGTAAAAAAAAAATGCAAGTATAACAAGTCTTGAGAAAGAAGTCCCAAGAGTTGGAGAATTTGTTTGTGCACGTGGTTTACGTAATTGCATATCTTCCAGCAATGAAATCACTATCCCTGTATTTTATTTAAATTTCAATTATTGTACTCTATATTTTTTTACATTAAAAAACTAAAAGGAAGATCGGGAAGCTGAAAGGAGGGAATTATTCTAACGAGAAATGTAAAATGATGGATACATTTCAGGCTGTTAGACCATATCAGTTTTAAGATAATGATTTATAACAATCACAGATAATCAGGGGGGGGGGAGTATTCTTACATTTCGTTTTATAATTCCACGCTTTTATTTTCTGAGAGTTTAACGCACAAGCGCAGATCCTTCACTACTCGAAGGCTGTGAGTGCTTAATTTATAAATACATGTACATGTCTCAATATTCATGTACATTGTACATCCCTCCATCGGTGATAGCGTCTACTTGTGAGTGAAAATTTTTCGAAGGGATGTAACTAACAATCACATCAAATATGGAAGAAAACACTTCAACATTTTGTTGATTTTTGTAAGCAAATAAAAAAAGAGAAAAGAACAATATTTAGGTGAAGAAATGACTCCATGAAGCATTTTACACATCGTATTTGAAAGTAATTCCCAAACCGTTTTAAAATTGACATGATAGTAAGGTTATAAACGGTGACGTACTGCACCTTTCTAAAAATATTAAATCTATTCCTAAAATTTATGGTTAATTACTAACATCGATTATTTTCTTCGACTCAGTAAGAAAGAAAGCAGAAATCCTTAAAGCAATCAATTGTTTATATATCCATTTTCATTCGAACATACGGTACAACTGTACATGCATTATTTATACCTCCTAAAAGGAATCTAAAAACGGCTCACACAAATTGATAAATAAAATAGTACATTTGTAGATTGCAACTGTTGCACAAAATTGCTGAAATCAATTACCTTTTTTTCTGCGTGTTCTCCGCGAAAAGCCCCAATTCCTTTAAATATGATTATTAAAGCATAAAATATGTACAAGACATAATCCGACGCCATGGGAGTGTTGGTCCGTAGGGAGAAAAGCATGAAGTGTTGGTTCTACGGTACGATCTAGAACGTCTTAATTCAATGTTTTACAACACCTTGACCCATGTTATCCGCAACAGTCAGGAGAAAACGTAATGGAACGAATTTCTCAATTGTAAAGGAACATATTTAAGTGTCTTTAAGTGGGGGGCCATGAAGACTTTGATGCATACAGCCGATAAGTATAAAGACCCCATAATCATTGTTTCCTTTTCCACCCGATCATGTCAAGAGTGAATTTAATATTTTGTTTGTATAACGTATTTCGACGTTCAGTCCCCTATATTCAGAGTAAATTTTAAATTCTGAGTGTACATATAAAGGACTCGTTAATTAAGAAATACATGGAAATCGTATATGATGCCAGGGTTCTTTTAGTATTTACATAAGTGGTGGTAAATATGCAATCCAGAACAACTTTTCAAAATTGAAAAAATACTATTTTGAAAATTCAACATTCGGATTTAGTGCAAATAAAGTCATTGCTTACATGTATATTAACGGGGAAATGTATAGCCCTATGTACTTGCGTTTCTGAAACTCTAAATTCAATATTTAATAAAAATGAATTTTTAAATTTAAACAACCGGGGTAAGAATTTATTAAAACAATCATGGATTTAGATAAAATTCTACAACAAGGACAAATTTTTTAAGCACCTTAATTCTGTAATAGCTGTTAGGTATACACGTAACGTGAAGTTAACGATATACAAGTACAATTATATATTCAGCTAGTTTTTATAGTTGAAGCTCTAACTTAAACAACCAATGTAAAAAGAACTTTAGTACTTAACGAAATACTTACTTTTAATAGACTACTCGATATATTTCAACTGAACTAGAACTGTTCTGCTGCTTAAACAATTACAATCTTTCTGTGGATTGCGACGTCATCAATACAATCTACAGTACCTATTTAAAAGCTTTGGACTAGGTTAATTATTTATTAAGTACACTGCCAAATTGTCTAGAAAATAGACACATTTAATCTATCCGATTTATCTGTCGTGCATTTGGTTTGAGCAATCTAAGGGTCGTCATGTTCTTTGCAAGTTTTAAATCCCAACCTGATACCTCAATCCGATACATTTATAAAAGGTAGCAAACTATTTAAGAACGTTGTCGATAACATCGAAACTGTGCACTTATTGAACAAATTGTTGTGTTAATTGGTCTTTAATTAGAAACAATACAATATGTATTTGTCAGTAAGTATATTAAAGTGTCGAAATGACCCAGTCCTTCTATCTAACTTTACGATCGTCACCAGTTAAACAATTACTTACAATGATAATGTCACGATACGATTTATGCAACTGTGCTTTGAAGATAATTTAAACCGAGTTTAAATATTTGCTGAGTTATTTTGGAGGTCGTATTTCTGACTTCAATTTATGATTTTAAAATAGCTTTTTGTATAGAAATTGCAAAGTTCTTTTTATCATGTATTTTTGTATACTAAAATGTATTGAATTCAATTATTTAATGTTGTAAGAACACAATTCCAAAGCCAGAGATATTTCGAAATGATTTTTAAAAAGAAAGGAAATTGGAAGGATTAGATAAGTTTTTTGGACTGAGTGAGAAGTAATTTCTCTTTGATTTCTAAATTTCGTGTTTTTCCAATTCTCATTTGTATCAATATCGATTTTTCTTTTTAAAGGTCGAAGAAAAAACATCAAAGTCTTTAAAAATTTAAGTTTATAACAAAAATTCAGTATATTTGCTTAAAGTTGTTTTCCTACTGCGAGGAAAAAAAATACAGGATGATATTAAAAACCATTTTGTAAGTTTGTTAGGAAAGAGAAAACTTGCTACTCCTTACTTTTTTTCAGATTTTCAATCAAATTGTGAGCTCTTTATATTCAAATTATAAAACATTCGGTTTCTTGCAAGTTTATTTTTCATACAAAATTGGTAAGTTTTTGTCGTGTCCAAACGTCTCTCATCTCTCTGTACAAAAAAACATAACTTTTGATTTAATATGACTTTCATATTTCATATGTGTATTCCTTGTGACAAGACCTTTCTTTGGGTACCACCAAATTTGACCTTGGAAACTTTTACATGAAAATTTTTAAAGTCATGTTGGACAAATCACATATGTAATGTTTATATTCATTGGATACCAACAAACACCTTGACCAGATTTCTGTTTTGTGAAAAAACTTTAACCTTGGTCATAACTTTTAATGGATATAGGGCTTTCATACTTTATATATGTAATCCTTGTATATTACAGCACTTTTACCCTTTGACCTTGACCTTTGAGTTTGACCTACTTTAAAAATCAAACCTTGACTATAACGTTTGAAGGGCTTTGGCTTTTATACATCACATACTTAATTCTTGTGACAAGACCTTTTATTTGCTAACAAGAAATTTGACCCTTTGACATTTAAATTTACCTATCAAAAAACTTTAACCTTGGCCATAACTTTGTAGTAGGCTTTGTACATAAGTATTTGTTGTTGGATACCAATTACCTTGACCCTTTGACCTTGGGGGGGGATTGAAAAAACTTAAACATTGGCTTACTTTCAAATTTCACAATTGTTTTCCAGTGAGAATATGCTACTTTTTGTACCAATCAATTTAAGAAAAGTTTAATCTTTGCTATGTTGCCATACGGGGGCATCAGTGTTTCACAAACACATCTTGTTTTTCATCAAAAATTGGTGACAACAAACAACTATTCTTACAAACTGAGATTAAAACGTAAACATTAAAATTCTTTTCGTAATATCAAAGTCATGAAAAAAAATTTTATACATAGACACAGATATATTAAAAAAACTCAGAACTTCAAATACCCTTTTCATATCAAATAAAAAATTTTTCTTGAAAAAATAGATATATTAACAGAAATAACACAAAAACATAGATATATAAAACTAGAATATATTTTAATACAATATTTCTTACACGATAAATATTAAGACACCTAATTCATACAATTTCCAAGTTAAAATTCAAAATTTATCTTAACTGTGCAAAATAACATGATATTTAATAAAAGAAAGAATAATACGAATTAATATATCTTCATGACCACAACTTCAATTTTTTAAATCTAATATAATAATAAAATGAAAAGGTACCTTAACTACATGTCTCCTAAAAGTCGCCTTATAACTGCCTAAAAGATTGTTTTCTCCGTGTCAAAAGCAGAAGCTATAGGACTGTGACGTAATGACGAGGCAATATTTTTATTATTGCTAGGCATACATTGTCTTTTTAAACATTTGTCAAAAATCATCGACTCAAGCCGCAAGGAACTGACCCATATGACAGTCAAATCAAAACAGAAATTCAAATTTCGAAAGACCATATTTAAAAGCTTGCAGGAATATTCGCAAAGTGAACGATTAAAGTAACAAT